CCCTTCCTGACTCCACATCCACCATGCCCAGCACGACTGTCTCAGAGCTTGTTCTCGGTGCTCCTTCTGCCTGGAATCTCTTCCCTAAAGCTATATGGTCTTCAGATCTCTACTCGAATGTCATTTCTCAGAGACCTTCCCTGACTACCCTCTATAAAGAGCAACCCTACCTACCGAACACCAATCTCTTCCCTACCCATCTTTCCCAAAGCAGCAAATGCATGCTCCATGAGGACAGAAGTTTTGGGGTTCATTTTTAAACTATTTTCTTAGAAGTCTAAAAAGTGCATGTGAGGGCTAGGACTGTAGCTCAGCTACAGAGCACATGCTTATGTACATAGTTCTTGGTTCAATTCTTGGTAAAGGAAACAAACAAGAACTGGGGAATAATTTTCCTGGTAGCGTGTTTTCCTAACACACACAGGCTCTGGATCTGATCTCCAACATCATTAAAAGAAGGGTGGGGGATAAAAAGGGAAAACAAACAAATCCTGTTTCTTTCGGACCTTCTCAAATGGAATACTGGCTGTAGGAGGGAAAAGCCACTGGCCTCACCTACACAGGGCTGGAGCCATGTGTCTGTGGGAACGGCATGCAGGAGGAGCTGCCCCAAAGACAGGACGGTCTTCAAAGTGGCTACGGTGGCTGAGAGGGACTTACCTCCACACTCTTCAGGGCCAGCACATTCTCCTCATTCCTCTGAGCCATTTCCACTTTAGGGGCCACACCGCAGATCCCACAGATCATGTCATTGTAGTCACGAACAGTGAGACATTCGAAAGCCCAGTAGCCATTGCACAACAGGTCCTGCAGCTGGTTCAGCTCCTCCGAGGTCAGCGTCTTCTCTGGAAGGACAGCAAGGGTCACTAAAAGACCCTGAAGTCCCAGGGTGAGGACTTCAGAAGACCAGCAGTCCACAAGTGTTCTGGTGCCACCCAGGGGTAACTCTAACGAGAGGACAGCTGCCTTGAACTAATGCCTCCTCGGTACTAGATGCTAGTCTGAGGGCTTTGAAGATACTACCTAGACTCATTCTTACACGGCTAACTCTTTATGAACTAGAAGCTATTATTGTCTCCTTTTATAAGTAGATAATCAGAACAAGTTGCTCAAAATCACACTGCCACTAGGTGGCAGAGCCAAGCCTCAAATACGAGCCTGCATGGCTGTCTGTCCCACCGCAGCAGATAAGGCACAGAACTGGAGCTTGTAGAAATGGGTCAGGTGAAGAACTAGGTAGGAAAGACCCAGGTTCCTACACCTAGGTCTCCACATGAGCCTTGGAACGGTAGACATCTAGGAGCTCTGTACTTAGAATGAGCCTAACTAATACACTACAAAGCCAAATGTATGTATGACCGAAGGATATTATACTTGTGAGTTCTTGCTAAAGGCCCCTGTATGCATGAAAACCTTTTCCAAAGTCAGTTTGGCATTTATAAAGTTCTGAAGGAAGATTATATTATTCGGAAGTCAGGATACCTCCTTCCCGAAATACCAGACTCTCACTCCCATGACTCAGCTAAAGCCTATCTCTGGAAGCTCAGCTCAGTACACAGTACTCAGGACTAACTTGGAACAGAAGGAGGACCTTACCTGTCTGCTCCTGCACAGACTTCAGCACAACACTGACACACACTCTGGGGTCCTCTCCCAGCTTAATCTGGTTCCGGATTGCAAAAAGTAAATCCAGGCTTACCAGCAACTTGTTCCCCACATTAAAAAGACCTGCAGGTTAAAAACAGGCAAAGGATCACTACAGTGTTAACAGTGCAACAAACTAAACGTCTGCTCCAGGGGACTAAGTCACAGTGCAGTCATAAGACAGAACGACACATTTTAAAAGAGGGAAGTAGACCTAACTGTCTGAAGTTGTCCACAAGCCACCGCTGAATGAAATACTATTTAGAGCAGGTTTTTGTTTTATCCTAATGAAAAAAGAAACGTTGCTCTGTCTCTGGCTCAGTGTTCAGGTCTCACACAACTGCACCATGGATGTCAGGGGACGCCTTAGCATAAGGATGGGGTGGGCCTAACACAGGCTGGGGATAAAAACCTCAGGTGAATTTAAGTGTAGTCAAGACCAGTCAAATGAGAATTTGATTTCATTTATATACCACATAAGCACTGACATGACAAAAACAAATTCTAGAATGTGTACTCCTAGGCCTTTCTAGGCATGATAGTCAAGGCTAAAACCAGTATCAAAGCTCTGGCCATTCAAAAATTAAAAAGAGAAGACAAACAGATAAAACCCTCTGTGTCCCCCAAATCATCACACACAAACTTGAAAGACAATAAACAGAAAACCTGCAAAAAGCCAAGAAAAATGGAAACCAGAGGCAGAGAGATCTCTGTAAGTTCGAGGCCAACCTGTTCTACACAGCAAATTCACAAAAATAATTCACAATAGAGTAACACTCTCCTACTTCCCTAGGGTTGTGTAGAAGATCTCTATTCTCTTCATTAATCAAAGAAGTGAGACAATTAATAATGATATACCAGCTTTATCTGTCAATTAGCAAGCTTTAAAGAAGCAGTCCCCAAAGTTCCCAGAGGCAACAAAACTGAGTTTGGTGGCACTGAATACAGAGTTAACAGACAAACTCAAGTGTCTCTGCCAACAACAAACAGTTGGATTGAACTGTTTGTTTAGCACTGAAAATAAAACAAATGTAGGTGTAAGTCTAACAAAATATATCTAGGACCTATATGCTAAAAACTACAAAATGCTGAAATTCGCCGGGTGGTGATGGCGCACGCCTTTAATCCCAGCACTC